AAAATATGTATGAAGATACCTTTAATTACAAAAAGAAAAGTAGTAACTTTACAGTGGAGAAACCTAACAGACACCACCTTAACCAAGCTATCACAGCTAACATCACCAGCAATGGGACGAAGCAACATCATGTGCCTCCTGTGATGTGATGTACTAAGAACACACTATCATTTCCAGGGTATTCCTACCAAAAAATGCATACCAAATTGAATCATAAGGAAACATCAGACAAACCCAAATTGAGAGTTATTCCACAAAATAACTGGCCTGTATTAACAAATGTCACTGTCGTGAGAGTCAAACAAGGACTGAGGAACCATTCCAGATTAAAGGAAACTAAAGGAACATGGCAATTGAATGCAATATATAATCCAAATTTTGTTGTTGTTGTTTTGCTTTTTTTTTTGTTTTGAGGAAGATTGGCCCTGAGCTAACATCTGTTGCCAATCTTCCTTTTTTTTTTTTCTTTTTTCTCCCCAAAGCCCCCGGTACATAGTTGTATATCCTAGTTGTATGTCCTTCTAGTTCTTCTATGTGGGACGCCACCTCAGCATGGCTTGATGAGCAGTGAGTAGGTCTGCGCCCAGGATCTGAACCGTGAACCCTGGGCCACCAAAGCAGAACGTACCAACTTAACCGCTGCACCACCAGGCCGGCCCCCCCAAATTTTTAAAAATTGTTTTTGTTTTGTTTTTTTGCCGTAAAGGACATTGAGATAATAGGTGAAATTTGGATAAGCTCTGTATTAAATCACATTACTGTAACAATGTTAACTTCCTGATTTTGATTACTGTACTGTGGTTATTTAAGAGGATGTCCTCATTTTTCCATTCTGTCCATGATTTACTCTCAAATAGTTCAGGGAAACACACACTCACACACATACACAGAAAATGCAAATGTGGTAAAACATTAACATTTGCTAGATGAAGGATCTATGGGAATTCTTTGTCTTGTTCTTGCAAATTTTCTGTAAATCTGAAATTATGTCAAAATAAGTTAAAAGCAGTGCATGTATGCTTTAATTACAGTGTTTATTAACATATATATCCATTTGAGTAAAAATTAGAAACACAAAGAAACAGATATAACAAGATGATGAGAATATGGGGGAAATAATTTCTTGAAAATGAAGATTTTTTAAAATGAAATATGAATCAAACAGTTGCCATACTGGAAATAGAGATGCAGAGGGAATGCTAATTAATAAAGAAATACATCTTAAAGCAACTTTAAAACACCATTTTATATTCAGTAGCAAAAATTAAACAAAACACTCTGATGAAATTTGTATATACAGCCGGCCGTCCATATCCATGGGTTCTGCATCCGCAGATTCAACAAACTGCAGATAGAAAGGCCTACGATGGTTGTGTCCGTACTAGACATGTAGACTTTTTTCTTGTTATGATTTCCTAAACAATACAGTATAACAACTATTTACATAGCATTTACATTGTATTAGGTATTATAAGTAATCTAGAGACGATTTAAAGTATATGGGAGGATGTGCATAGGTTATATGCAAATACTATGCCATTTTATATAAGGGACTTGAGCATCCGTGGATTTTGGTGTCTGCAGGGGGTCCTGGAACCAATCCCCTGTGGATACTGGGTACCAAGGGACAACTGTACCCTTATTTATTGCTCTTGTCAATGTAAAGCAGCACAAACCTTTAAAAAGGAAAAACCTACATGTGTTCATACTCTTTGACACAGTACTTTCATTCCTAGGCACTTAGTCTTTGATAATAGCAATAAAGATGTATTCATGAATGTATATTCTTTGCAACATAATCTATGGTAGCAAAAAGGAAGAACAAGAGGGGCCTGCCTGGTGGCGTGGCCCTAAGTTCACGTGTTCTGCTTCAGTGGCCCGGGATTTGCAGGTTCAGATCCTGGGTGTGGACCTACTCACTGCTCATCAAGCCATGCTGAGGCAGCATCCAACATACAAGAACTAGAAGGACCTTTGAGAGAAAAAAGAAAAGGAGGAAGATTGGCGACAGATGTTAGCTCAGGGCCAATCTTCCTCAAAAAAAAAAAAGGAAGAACAACAAACGTCAAAATTTAGGGGAATGTTTCAATAAGTTGTGGTTCATCAACACAGTAGAATATTGTCTTAAATATTAAAATTGTGAAAACTCCAGAAACAGAAAAATAAAAAACTATATACATGGATTACAATTATGTAAAAACTTTTAAAGGATTATAAAGTAATATGCGAAAGTAAAAAGTATGTATGGGTACTGGAATAATTTTTCAATAAAAGAAAAATGCTTTAATGTAATCTCTGAACAATAAAAAGCAATTGTATAATAATAATAAATAATAAAGAAGGTGGCAGGAGAAAACTGGGAGGTGACGGGTATGTTTATGGCATAGATTGTGGTGATGGTTTCACGGATGTATACTTACCTCCAAACTCATCAAGTTGTATACATTAAATATCTACAGCTTTTTGTATGTTAATCATACCTCAATAAAGTGGTTTTAAAAAAAAACAATTGTATTCGGCAGTAGAAGAGGTAAAGTATACGTAATTATAGTCCTTCACTGCTCTCCCAAAATTTAAGCATGAATTATAGTAATCCTTAGCCCTGACTCTAGCATTCTAGAATCTACTTCAAGAGGCATCATGAAATTTCCATCAGTTTTCATCAAATAAAATGATTGTGAATGCTTTTAAATTTTCATCAATAATTTTTATAAAAAACTTAATTTATGGAAAAACCTATTTCAGCCATAACATCTTTAGGAGAAAGTGGAGAGAGTCAGAAAATCAGATGAACAATGGGATAGTAAGAAATCAGTGTGAAGGTTGGAAACTTTGCTCTAGGGGGACCAAAAAATACTCAATGAGTCATAACCACCTTTTGTTTTGAAAAGTAGTATTCTTGGTACCAACTGTGTTCAAGGACTATCCTGGCTACCGCCTCCAGCTGGCAGCGAGCAGAGCCAGCTTTGGGGAGGAATCTCCCTCTGGGAATCTGGAACCAGAAGAGGGATCTGAACCAGGTAAGTTAAACTCCTGGGGAGAATCTCAGCGGAGGAACTGGCTGGGGCAACTCCCTAAGCAGGCTGGTTTCCATGGCAGAGCCAGATAATTTACCCTTTCCAGCACTCAGCTTTTGTTTGCAGGCAAATTTTTTAAACAATCAGAGGATTCAGTTGCCTAGAAACAGTCTCTGTGCCCAGCTCATTAGTCTGACAGCAAATAAATCTATCAACACCAATGCACCTGTCCCAGGGCCAAGGCTCAAGGCTGACTGACGCTGGGGATAATTTCCCACGTGGCCCTCTCTCCTCTCAAGGCTTCCCTCATTTTGTCAGAATCAGTCCCATGCTAAATTTAATTTGTTCTTATTCCCCTTTCCATATTTGCTTTCCGAAGACATTCCCAGGTTTGAACTGGGGAGCCTTAGTCACAAGCAGAAAGTTTTATGCGCTAAGTTTCACTTTTAGGATCATGGAACTTTGAAGTTGTGAGGGAAGGACTTTCTCTTCCCCCAAAGTTTCTACACTGCTCTTGCAAGTGTCGTCTAGGACAGGGAGAATCACCATTATCTGGGAGTTTGTTAGAAATGCAAATTCCTGGGCCCCAACCCCGACCTACTGAATCGATTGGGAGTAGGGCCCAGCAACCTGTTTTAACAAACTCTCCAGCTGATTCTGATGCTTGCTGCAGTGGGAGAAGCACTGGGCTACATCCTGTTATTAGACAACTCTGCAGGAAAATGACTGAGCTATGTTATCAAACTGCACTCCAAGACCCCCTAAAACCTGACTATTTTAAAGTATTTCTTCCAAATGGTGCCGATTCTCTTTTTGTATGGATGACAAGGGACACATGAAAACTGAAAGAGCAGTTTGCACAGCTGAATCTCTTGCGGACAGACCAGGGAGAAGTGAGAGCGAGTTTAGCCCCGTGGCAGCCTCAGGGGCCTGGCCAGGTCAAAACTGCCTTGGGAAGTATGCCCTGACCCCTGGCTACTTCAAGGATCTCCTAGGGCAAACTTTTTTGTAAAAGGCCATATTTTTCTGTAAATATAAGCCATATAGTTTCTGTCACAATACTGAACTCTGCCATTATGGCTCAAAAGCAGCCACAGACACTATGTCAACTAGTGGGTAAGGCTTTGTTCCAATAAAACGGTAGCAAATGGAGGCAGCAGGCTGGATTTGTCCCAAGGGCCTGAAGTTTGCTGACCTCTGTCCTAGGGAGTCAGGGGCTTGGGGTTCCTAATGTGATGTAGGAACCTTGGGGTCACTCTAGACATGCCTCTGAAAAGACCCCCAAACTAACAATCTGTGGTGACTTTCTAGGCCAGAAACCTCCATATAGAGTCCTGGCCCACGACTGGCTTCCAAGGGGTGGGGCCAGGAGTAGTGAAGCAGGCATCCTGCATTCTCTCTCTTCAGTGAAGCCTGACTCGGGGAAGGGGGACTCTAGGCAGAAAGCATCCTGAGCCAGGACCTGGGCTGAATCCTCCAGGCAAAGGAACTGCGTTGAGTTCAGCAGCAGAATATCTGTCACATTCACGTTTTTCCTCAGAGATATCAGCCAGTGCTCACTTTAAAAGTTTTGAGAGTTATAAGGCTTATGTTTTAAGATTTTTACCAATAGTCAAAACTTTCAAGTTTCAACCAGAAAAAGCATATATTCTGATTCAAAAAGTATTTCATCATACCTTAAAAAAAAGATAAACATTTAAAACAGACACATAGTTAGTGCAAGGGACGTAACAAGACGTTTTATATTGAATCTAACATGTTGCGTTTTTTCCAAATACATTTCTTGCCTAACAAAAATGGAAGGAAAGACTCTTACAATTCTGATGTCCCTGTGCTAATTTTGTTGCATGTGATGCTCTCCTTACCACAGTTCACTTATTTATTAGCACCCATAATCCACATCCTTGATTTTACCAAAACAACAAAGAATTAAAACTCACACACACTTATGTACCTTTAAAGTCCTGTAATACGATGAACTTAACATTCAAAACATTTTATGAAGGAAAAACAAAAATGAAGTCTTTTTGTAATCAGTGCATCCATAGTTCTTGGTGTCTCATTGGGAAGCTGCAAGATGTCCTTGAATAAGATCCTGAACACGGGACAGAATAATCTCATTAGAACTGCTGCAATTTTCTGGACCATATGGTGGGTCTATAGTCAGGACCCCAGCCACACAGAGAGTTCTTCGTGAATCTCCCTGTTCAGTGATGGGGATGTGGTTCTTCTCAAGCCATTTCTTTAAGCTGTTCTTTCTCTTTTCCAGATCCTCAGGGCTGTATGCCTCGCAGTCTCCAGACGTGAACAAATGCATCAGCTTCTCTCTCACTCTATGGTCCCCTTCATTCATAGTTTCAACAGTCTGCACAGCATGTCCCATAATTCCGGTCACAGACATGCTGCCATCTTCAAGGAAGTTCACGAGGACAATACTTTGGAGGAAAAGTAAGTTCAGAGCAGATTTGCAAAAGAAAAACCTAAAGGCCCATAAAACTATGGAAGAAGCAATGGAATGAGAGGCATCATCAACACCAGCGGGTCACTGGAATAATAGGAAATGCTCTGCCCTGTTTAAAATAAATCCTCTCACCACCAGACATTTTACTTGTGCAATAAGCATTGACTGAGGGTCTTAAACATCTAACCTTTATGTCCAGCCTAAAGCTAATCATTGTGGGATGCAGTTTAAACATTTCTTAAAGAGTTATGAATGCCGTAAATGTGTATTTGAAAAGAGAGGGTACAGATTTAACTTTTAGAGTTAAAAAACAACTGAACAGGGGCCAGCTGAGGGGCACAGTGGTTGGGTTCAGTGAACTCTGCTTTGGCAGCCTGGGGTTCACGGGTTCAGATCCCGGGCGTGGACCTACACCACTCATCAAGCCATGCTGTGGCAGCGTCCCACATACAAAATAGAGGGACATGGGCACAGATGTTAGCTCAGGGCCACTCTTCCTCAAGCAAAAAGAAGAAGATGGGCAACAGGTGTTAGCTCAGGGCCAGTCTTCCTCACCAAAAAAAAAAAAAAAAAAACCCCACAAAAAAAACTAAATAACTCCCCTTCCAAAGAAAATAACAAAGGACAAAATTAATGCAATAGAAAACAAGAGTCAATAAGAGGATCATCAAAGCCAAAAGTTGGTTCTTTGAAAAAAAATAATAAAATTCATAAAACTCAGGCAAGATTAATAAAAATAGAGAAAGAAGGCACATATAAATAATATCAGGAATAAGGCAGCAAAGATTAACAGTATAAAATATTAAAAACAAATTTATGCCAATAATTTTGAAACTTAAAACATAAAATTTCCTAAAAAATATAAATTTCTACTACTGACACAAAAAAAAGAAAGAGAGAATGTAATCAGTCCTATAATCTTTAATAAAAACTGAATAACTAGTTTAAAATCTTCCCATGGAAGGGCAAAAAAGGTCCTGACAATTCTACCAGCAAGTTCTATAAAATGTGCAACATCAAACATTCTAATCTAAAGACTCTAAAAGGAGGACAATGCTTTCATTCATTTAATGAGGCTAATATAACCTTGATACCAAAAGCAGAAAAGGACAGGATTAAAAAATAAAACCATAAGCTAATCTCACTCCTGAATACAAATGCAAAAATCCTAAATAAAATAATGTATGATATGATATATGACACATGATATGATATGATGTGATGGGAATTTCAGTTCCGTAGTACTCTTCCCAAAAGCCTATTACCCCAGTCTATTTATGAGAAAACACTGTACAAACCCAAATTGAGAGACATTCTACAAAGTACTTCACCAGTACTCTTCAAAAGTGTCAAGGTCATGAAAAACAAGGAAAGACTGAAAACCTGTCACAGATCAGGGGAGACTAAGGAGACATGATGATTAAATGTAATGTGGGATCCTGGATTGGATCCTGGAACAGAAAAAAGCCATTAGTGGAAAAACCGGCAAAATCCAAATGACTGCAGTTTAGTTACTGTAAATTTTTAGTTTTAACAAAGGTACCATGGTTGTGTAAGATGCTAACATTAGCAGAAGCTGGGTATATGGGTACTCTATGTACTTTCTTTGCAACTTTTCTGTAAATCTAAAACCATTCCAAAATAAAAAGTGTATCACCACCTTTAAAGGAGTCTTGCAAAAAATAAATCTGTTCCTAATTAACCCTCTAGATATGACTACCGAAATACGGAAAATAAAAGAATATGTTAAACTACACTATGATAATGCAATGAGCTAAATCCAGAATGTGTGTTAAATCCTATAAGACAAATGACTGTTTCTTCAACAAATAAATGACATGAAAAACGAAAAAGAGAAAGTGCAGAGCTATAGATTAAGATACTTAAGAGACATATCAACCAAATTGCTAAAATAATATAAAAAGATATTTTTGAGACAATCAAGCAAATCTGAACTCACACTAGGAATTAGCTAATATTAAAGTTATTATTACTTTTGTTAGGTGTTATAATGGTATTGTGATTACATTTATTAAAGAGTCCTTATCTACTAAGAGATATATTGAAGTATTTATGAACAAAATTAAATGATGTCTGCTATTGGCTTTAAAATATTTGGAACAAGGGGTAAGGTTAGTGTTTGTTATACTATTCTCTTTACATTTGTATATGTTTGAAATTTTCCAATAAAAAAAGGAGTGTCTCATTGCTATGAACTTGGTTGGTCTGACAAGGTACGTAATCCATAGTTAGAACAGCAGTTAGATTCAAAAGTAATAAAATTCTTATGTGGGAATAATTAGCCTTTCAATTATCTGCTTTCTTAATTTGGATATAACATAGAGGCAGCACAAAGAGGTGTCACGATTTCAGGGAAGCAGGACCCATACTCACTTGGCAGAGACTGGGTCTGTGGTTAAAACCCATCCTTTATACTCCTTCTCATTGGCTGTCACTCTGACTTCTTTATAAGTGTAATCTTGCCATTCTAAGGGGCCTTTCTTCATCCATTCATTCATGGCTGCCGGCTGGCTAGATCTAAAACAAACACCAGTCCGATTAATATATATGTTCCACCTAAGCAAATGTCTTACCTCCAATTTCCATCCTAGAGGTAGAGAACAATTGTGATTTGCCTTAAATTCCGTTATCAGGAAAATAGTTAATATTTACTATTCATTCTAAAAGCTAAGGGGACACCGAGTCGCCGCGGGGCCCAGTCGGGAGTAACTCATCTGGCATACTTTTCCTCCACCCCCAATCCCATTCCAGATCGCCTTCACGATGGCTTTGAACTCCAGTCTGCAGATGCTCAAACCCTGTAACTCTGCTCTCCTTGATCAAAGTTCACTCCACGCCACCTTTAGCCAAAAGTGGAAAAAACCCACAAAACTCTGATATCCACCCACTCGCTCTCTGGCTCCGTGTCTCCGCTGGATCCCTCCAGGGAGAGGCCCCCGGATCTGTGACAATTTCCTCTTAAAATTTGTTTGGAGAATGCATCAACGAGAGGGCAGAAGCTACGGCTCTAGAACTCAGCTTCCCTGGCCTAGCCTGCAGCCTCATGATACTTGGAGCTGTAAGCAAACCAGGTGGCACTTAACGTTTAATCCTGACAAACGAGAAAAATACCAGCTAAAACTTCTAGCAGCGCCCGGTACTCAGCAACCACGCTGTGAGGAGGGAATTTCTCGAGCGGAGCCCGCCTGAGTCCAGCATCCTTTGCGCCACGTCGTCACTTCCTTCCCCCAGAATTCTCTGTTTTGTAGTCCCTGGGCTTGGTCCCACCTGGAGGTCTGCGAGTCGCGAGGCGTGGAGTGGTAAAGGCGGATGCAGGGTGCGGGTAGAGGCTGAGACTTTTGTGTAATAATAATAATAAGACTTCTTGTTCGCCAGAGCCACCCCTTTCCACTGCCATGATGGACATTTCAATTTTTTTTTAAGAGGAAAAGGCTCGTGCCAGCTCCTCGTTGAGAGTAGAGGTGGAAATGCACTTTTGCCATGGATTCAAAGCACATGAACCCTCTAGGTAAATCCTAAAGCTCCAGAAGTGTGAAGTGAAAGTACCTTGGAGAAAAGCAACAGAGCTAAGGTATTTTTTGTTTGTTTGACCTGTGTAAGGCAATTAAGATGCCTGCTCCTTTGGGAGGTGCCCGAGGTACATTCCTGCAGATGCAGCAGCCAGAATGTAAAGCACGGGATTGGGTTGAATTCCACCTAGTCGATCACTCACTATAAACGCCCTCCCACCTCCACCCCCGAGTGGAAAAGACTCGCTTCCACCACAGATTTTTGGTCATGTACTTAGTTGGCTTCTGGCATGGACCAGAATTTCTTCCAGACTGTGATCCTGAAAAATGGTACAAGGTGGTAAATGTCGACAAGTTCCTGCAAGTGGAACACCAAGAGAGATTTACAAAAACTGAATTAGAGGACTATCAAACCACAATGTAGAAAACATCGAAAATTAATCAGCTTTTCCCTTACTACTTGGAATTTGAGTTCCATATAATCCTTGAAGTATATTGTTTCTTATTGTCATCATTTCAAATAATCCTTCCTGTAACCTTCACTCATTGAATGATTGGCTGATTATATTAATGTGACTTTAGTGGATTAAATTAGATTTTGCCAAAGTCCTATGTAAATCTACAAAGAGCTAATATAAACACCAATTATTGTAGTGTGAAGGAAAACATTTGGCCTCATAAAAATTCAGTCCTAAACCAATTTGTGACAACTGGTCATTTGCATTTTAAGTCTTCTATCTATACCGCAGAGTGAAAGACTTTGTTTTATATGTATATATATTTAATAATGGGCTTTTTTGAGCCACCTTAAGCTGGCTCCTGCCCACCACCGACTGTGCTCCTACCAGCTTTATGACTTTGGAAGTCATTTACCTTCTTAGATTTCAGTTTCCTCATCTATAAATGAAAATATGGGGTTAGATGACCCAAGATCCTGTCAGCTCTAAATTTTCATGACTAAGCCATACACAGACACTTAGTGAGCCCTGTAAACCCTCTAAGGACAGAGGCTTTGTCTGTTTTATTTACTACCATATACACCACCTCTAGCACATTGCCTGGCATATAGTAAGTGCTCAATTTGAATTGAATTTTTATTTCTCAGTTATATAGCACCTAATATGTGCCAGGCACTATTTTAAGAACTTTCAAATATTAACTCTTTTATAAGTGAATAAATAGAGTGAAGAGAATGGGAAAAATTTGAGTGATGGAATGACATGATTAAATTGGTATATTAGAAAGGATGCAGAGAAATTGGACATGCAGAAAATAGGGAAGTATAGAGCATATACAGCATGAAACTTTATGTAAAATGTAGCCGCTCTATTCAAACAGAGCTGTGATATTAGGGGGGAAAAAATTCCAGCACCACTTCCCAAATGGAAATCTAGTTTTTGAGGGGCTAGTGTCTCCAAATTGATTAGTCAGCTGCCCTACCCAGAAAGGAGATTTTACAACCTGAGAGAGGAAAGATTAGTTTCCCTAGCAGTAGAGTGAAGATAGGATTGTTTCCTAGGATGAAAATGCTTTGAACAGACTTTGTGAACTCTAAAGCACCAGACAAATGTAAGGCATTAAAGTTTAGAAAATTGCTTCTGTGTCATTGCTTCTCAGATACACCCAGATAATATCTTTTGGCTAAAAATCAGTGCCATTTTTTTCACTGAGTTCCTCTTATTCAAAGAAGTAATCAATCTAAGTGGTAAGAATATACATGTTTTACGCCTATTTTATTTTGATTTGAAAAAAAAATAAAGTGGAGTTAATCATTTTTATTTTTCTCTGCAATTGCCTTGGGACAAAAAAGGATGTTCACTACTGAGTTCCTAGTAACTACTGCAGTGGTCCAGACAGGAAATAATAAAGTCCTAGCCTAAGTGATAGCAGTGGAAATGAAAAAGAGAAAAGGAGAAATAGATTCAACAAATATCTCAAAGGAGAAATCAACAGGATTTAGTGATGGACTGGATTGGGGCAAGGGCGTGTTGAGAAGAACTTTGACTCTAGGCCTTGAACAGAAATTCTCTTTGTTCTTCATTCATAATCCCGTGTCTTCATTTTTTCAGGATCTCAAGTGTCCAAAGAGTTATTATATTTACTAAATTAGATGAGAAAAATTTTTTCATGGAATAAGTAAAATGCTTCAGTAGCACTTTATTTGTGTTTATGGCACAAGAAGGCAACAGTGAGGTAACTCCTCTAAGCTCTTATAAACTAGGCCTAAGTGTTAAATAAAATGGATGTGATTAGATTTGTGATTCATTTGCACAAAGAGACCATCTATAATCTGTGTAACCAAAGAATGTGGGGAGGACCGAAATTCAACCAAGTGACCTGGTTGTATTCTCGGGAATCAGGACTGGAACGGGCTTGTGTTTTAGTAAATGGAAACTTAATTATATTGTACCCTACTTGGACATTCAGTAACCCAGGGTTGGCAGCAGAAGGTGTGGAAGAAGAAAGGTCAGCAAGCAAAAGGTTGGGAGGTATTTCTTGGAGACTCTGAATCTGGAAGGCAGGCACTTTCCAGAGATGTATGCATATTGTGGGGAATGGATGCTTCATCAGGTCTCACCCTGGCTGGGAATAGATATTCCTAAAACTGTCTCTTTATATTCTGATTCCATGCTCACCATGCTGCCTTGTGACTCTTCTGCTGGTTTTCTAGGTACGCTGTTTATCAGAAGAAATGGTTCTTGACATGGAAATATGAGCACTTTCTAGTCAATAGAAAGGAATAGACCAGAAGTCACAAACTAGAGGCCAAAAGGTCATATCAGGACGTGCAGATAGATTTAATATCTGCACTGTGTTGAATTTTTTTTTTTAATTTGAAAGCCTTTAGATAAGTTTGCTCTTTCTTCTTCACAACTTCACAACTTCATTTTCCACCACTTTTATTGTTCTATGCTTGGCTGCTTCATATGTTTACGTTACCTGCCTGACTCCTAGAGGAAATTGAGTTTGCAACTCTGGAATAGTCCCTACTATAAATAAATAAATTAGCAGAGTAAATTCTACCTTAATGTCTTGTGAGTTTGACTGGTGAGAATCAGCCTCAATGTGTCTAGTCAACTCTCGGACTAGTTAAGGTCCCGAACCCGGGCTGTGGGTAGCAACTTCACCAAGGAAATACCAATTGCAAGATTCCTGGTAGAGCCCCATACAGTCTTCTCCAGGTGATTCCTGATCTCGTTGTTGCCTTGCCCCCTCTTCAACTGTCTCCCTCAATACCATTTTGTAGCCTATTGTTATTTAGGTATGTGTTGTGGCAGTTACTGTAGGTTAGTTCATTTAACAGTCCTTTCCCACAACTTCCTAATGAGGTTTGAAAGCTAAAACTCAATCTTCAGCTTCCTTTGCAGGTAGAAGTGGCCATAGAAATATTTCCAGCCAATGAGATATACATGGAAGTCCCTAGGAAGGCTGTTCCTTCCGAAATAAAAAGGCAAAGCTTCCTAAGAAGGAGAAAGCCTTTCTTGTTCCTTAACTATTCCTCTTCCAGTCTGCGTGCCTTGGACATAAAGCCTGGAGGTGCAGCCACCTCTTTCCACGGTGAGGAGACATGCATGAGAAGGCCTACAGGCCAAGCAGAAAAATAAAAGAAAGATAATAAGAGCCACACCAGACCTGAACTACCTAATTTCAGATTTCTTTTGTTTGGGACAAATAAACCCCTATGTGTTTAAGCAACTGTTTTAAGTGTTTCCATCCCAACAAAATCCTTTTCTAGCTTATCTCCCTAATAAAGCCATCAGGAGAGAGACCACACTTTCTATCCTCAGTACCCTGTTCAGTGCCTGCATATAGTAGGCATTCAACATATATTTGTTTAACCAATTAATAAATTTGGAAGACAAAACACAAAACCATAATTTAGGCAGAGAGTTACTTATTTCATGAGTGACAGAGATAAACTAAGAACAGAAAAAGCAGGGCTGGCCCCGTGGCTTAGCAGTTAAGTGCTCGCGCTCCACTACTGGCAGCCCGGCTTCGGATCCCGGGTGCGCACCGACGCACCGCTTGTCCGGCCATGCTGAGGCCACGTCCCACATACAACAACTAGAAGGATGTGCAGCTATGACATACAACTGTCTACTGGGGCTTTGGGGGAAAAATAAATAAATAAAATTATAAAAAAAAAAAGAAAAAGCAAATTAACAGGTCAAATTTTATATTGGCAAAGCAGTAACAAAGAGACCTTTGTTTTTTTCCAAGAAAGTAATTTAAATCCTCTGCACTGAAGAACAATGTATTATTATTCTTACTAGTAGTAGTAGTAGTAGTAATAATAAATGTGCATTAACTCAATCTTAATTAACACAGAAAAAAACCAGGAGATAGGAACTATTATTATACCTATTTTATAGCTAAGGAAACTGAGGCACAGAGGCCCGAGGCCACATAGCTAGTTAGCGACAGAGCTAGGATACAAATCCAGGTAATCAGGCTGGAGTGGTTTAATTAACCACTATACCGTACTAATTAAATAATGGGGAATAACTCAACCACAATTGTTCACCTAAAGTCTATTTTTAATTAATCAGGAGCATGGTTTGCAAAGTAAGCATTTCGAAATCTGAAATATTACCTCTTCATTGTGCTCCAATTGGTTGTTTGGACACTCAGAGCATTAAGATAAAGTGTTTCACTCATGTGTTTTAGCAAACCAAACTTTCCCAGGAACTTCTGTTTCCAAGGGTTACTGCAAGGAGGATACACTCAGCCAGACTTAATGGTCTGGAAATTAGGGATTGATTTTATCCCTAAGGCAGGTAATACCGAGCCCCATACCTACAGCTGCTATTTACTCTCAGATTAGCCCACTAACAATCGCCAACAGGATAGATGCAAGCAGTTTCATTATGTTGAAGAGCTAGTCTTAATAGGAATTACACTTTAGGGAGGGAACTAAAGGAAGGGCTACGGGCAACTACACTTTCCCTCAACCAGCCTAGTCTTGTTTTTCTCTACCCAGTGCTTCCTTGGCCTCCTCCAATTATCTTCAAAGGGTTTGTGTTTGTGTGTGTGTGTGTGTGTGTGTGTGTGGAAGGGGAGGCTTCCTTTCTCTCTATCCTGTGGCAAATTATAGACCCATTTTTGAGCTTCCCAATGAAAAAAGGTAAAATATACTACTGATCGCACAGGGGAAAAATATCTTGTCAGGTATAAAAAACCAATAAAAATTATTGTATATAACAGAAAACCATTCAGTCTATGCTATTCAGTGTATCATTGTTTTGAAATGTCAGTAAGACCTTAAAGTCTTTTTTCTGTCTTTTAACAATTAAATCAAAACATTTACAGGGCACTGAGATTTCTAATGTAGCTACTTTCCCTATTTTATTTGCAAATTGTATACATTATCTAGTGAGATGGTAAAAAATATTGAGTTTTTGACAATGTTATCTAACATAATCAATAAATTTATAACATATAAGAGAGTATATAATGTACATCATTTGCCTTTTCTTTTTCAAGAATGTGCATCACTCCATTTGCCAATCTAAGACATTCCATTTTATACGTATGGAGAAGGAAAGAGGGAAAAGTAATGGCCAATTCCTTTCCTACTTGTTCCTGGTCAGATTCTTAGCAGCTGCCTCTTCTTGGATTTCTTCCACAAAGAAATGATTTTCCTACCTGTTAATTACCTTGCTGACTGTAGATACTTCACTCATAATAAACAAAACCACACTTTGTGTCCATATCACTTTCCTTTAGCTATTTGTTCAAGGGCTATGTGAACCCTAAACTGTAATCGGGCTTCCATGGAATAGTCTTTGTAGTTTTTTATGTTGTCTAGGCTTTTTGTTGCATTAGCATTATCTCCTTTGAGATAGTATAGAATTCCCAGTTCATAGTAAGTATACGGCACCAAATAGTGGTCATATTTTAACAATTTCTCCTTTTGAATGACACGATTAAAGTACTGTTCAGCCATTGAATATTTCCCTAAGTGTTTCAGACATAGACCTTTCAGTAGATTTAACAAACTTATGTCATCTGTGCCATACTCTTTATTTGGATTTTCTCGTAAAAATTCTTCTCCTTTGTCAATTATTGAAAGCCAGCTTCTGATAAGGCCTAGTTTTTTGCTTATGACTCGGAAACCACTCCAGGCATAAATGAATTCCAGGATGGGCTGTGCTGTAAACCAGCCTGTGGTAGTACCATAGCGCTGACCCTTGTCAGCAACAAACTTTTCTATTGGCACAGAAGTTCCTAAAATTTTGACTTTCAGGCTATCCACTTTTATGAAGAGAGAGTTCATATCCTCACTTACCAATTTCACAAAATCAAACGGAAGCAAGGCCAGTAGTATAGCTTTACTGTACAAATATATTGTCTTGGACCACCTGCTGTTCTGAAACAGTAGATCTGCATAGCGGTAAGCCTGCTTCCAATCCTGCAGAAAAATGTGGCACCACATGAGTTCCCAGTAACAGAGGTGATGAATCTGTTTCCATTCATTTTGAATAAAAATGCACTCCTCTAATATTAACTGTGCATTCTCCAAACTTCCTTTCAGCATAGTAAAACGTGCATGAAAAAATTTAAGTATGACACACTTTGGAAATTTCTGAAGGTAGATTAGGAAGAGATCTTCTATAGCAGAATTGTGACCCTTTTCAACACCAAAAGCTACATAGATATAATTGTAATAAAAGAGCAGAGTCACAACACTTAAGATATTATTTAAATGGGATTCAGATGCACTCTCATGAAGCAAAGCCAAGCCTACCTCTCTATCACCAGAATAGCCAACAACATTGAGTAGTTTGAGTGTCTTTGGTGGTACAAGTGATAATATCAAATTGAATGCTCCAAGTCCAAATTTTATTCCTCCAACCAGATGTCTGTGGGTTTTGCTTTGGTTGTTAGGTATCTGTGTTAACACTTGTTGACAGTCTTTGTATATTTGATAACTTAACCCAACACTGATCCCACTTTTAAGAAAACTAAGCACACTGTCATCCTGTATAAATGTTATAGTGGATTTCAAGATCAAACACTCAGCATAGCAGACTTCCGCATGCAATTCCTCTTCTTTGATTGCCTTTATTCCCTGTTTACTCACTAGATGAGACAAACTCATCATCCTAGATTTTCTTCGGAAACTGTTACAAGTTTTCACAGCTTCCTGTGCAGCAGTCATTCCAGTCTGTATATCCTGTGGATCAAAAGTCAAGATGGCCTTGACAACCATGAGGATATTATAAATTAGAGCATGGTATATGCTGTTTTTCGACCATGGATGAATGAGATTTATGGCATCTGAGAATCTGTTATTTAGAAATAAATACAGTCCAGTTGTGCATTCTTCCAGGGAAGATATCAGATTCATTGTTGTTGCCACAGGGATAAATTCATAGGCGTCTTCAAACTTGTCCTCCTTATCATTTTCTCTCTTACTTAGAGTAAATGATGTAATGTCATCCTCCTTATCATTTTCTCTTTTACTTAGAGTAAGTGACATATCTGCTTCCCCACTTTAGAAATGGGAAATATCTGAAGTGGAGTGATGTGGCTGCAAAGAGGGTAGCTCCTGCTCTCCTGACTGGGGTCACTTCTTCCACAGCCTGAGGTGTTGCTGTTGTAATGGAGGCAAACAAACTAATAGCTGTGAAGCGCAGCATTAGGATATCCTCATCTACGTCAGATAAAGGGAAAAAAAAGATAATTTTATTTACCTGGAAGATGTATTTCTGAAAAGTTCAAATCATTTGGAATGTACTAAAGAAACATGCTCTTTTAAAACACTGTGAAGTAAATCCTTTGTAAATGGAAGACTTATTTTGTAGCCATCCCTCCAATCTATTATTTTCATAAGACTATGCTTTTATGGGTTTGTGTTGTAGAACTGTACTGTGACAGCTGTAAAGTTTCACCATAGAAAGGCCTTGGGGGCAAGAATCTGGCTGGAAAGGGGAATGTATTTGCATAGGTCTCTAGTTAAGACTGAGAAAGGGGTGAATTGTCCAGGACAAAGAAGAAAGATTATGGGAATGAAAAATCCATTCCATGCTATTCTTAGTACCACCACTGTACTTGCATATATTTTTATAGAAAACTACATCTTGATGAAATATTATGGTTAGTTGTATAGGACTTTGGATATGGAAAGTGCTATGTAAACTAGAGAGATTTCCTAGCATTGTTGCAGTTAGGAAAAAAATTCAAATGTAACAGTTGTTATCACAGCATTACTATAGTATTTTAGTAGGAAGGTGGGGGGGCACAATGGAAAACCAGTTACAAATAGCAAGCTACTTAATTTATTCATAATAACACAATAGGTTTGATTAATCTATTTTTAAAAGTAGAAACAACAAACAGTTTAGTAATATTACAATGCTTTATAATAATTACAAGTATACTGTAAAATGTACTTTAATTCTGTATTTTGCTAAGTTAAAAGACAGCAGGGGAAGGTAAAGCAGAGGAGAATAATCAAAGAAGAAGAAAGAGAGACATACAAAAGAAAGAGATGCAGATTTTTACACAGAGGGAGAGAGAAAACTGAGAAAAAATATGTTACATATGAGGAAAATAATGATGGAGAGGACAGCCTCAGAGGTATTATTTTAGTTACGTTTCTTGTTTTTAAAACCTCAGGGTATTAGCAACTGCAATCACTATCCATTGAAAAGCTAAGTTCATTACACATTTATCTAAAAGGCTCAGTTCTGAGTGGGAAAGCCATGTACCCCATTAGGAGGGAAATTATTCTTGGGGCTGCAATAGTAGTGGCTAGATTAAGGTTAGCTGGAGAAACCTAGAAGAGGGCCAGATTCAACCCAAGGACAAAGTTCCCTTTCCTCTGGCCTAATGCTTTCAAATTATATTCCATAAAATCCCTATTCTCCATCCAAGACAGCCCAAATTTTACTTTTTCTGAAACCTTACCTAAGTCTGTCAGCATAATCACTCTAATGGCATTCTGTATATATCTCTATGAGTGTTTATCTCACTGCATTGTAATTATTTATACACCACTAACTTTCACCACTAGCCTGGGAGCTTCAAGGCATTATTTGTGTTTTATTCAGCATTATATCCCAGTTCTAGCATACTCCCTTGAACAAAGTTGGCATTAATAAATGGTTACTAAACGAATTCAGGTGCCCACAACATATTTCTAGGAATTTCTTGAAAGCAAGTTGTAAACTCCTCTTTCTGCCCCATGATTGCTAGGCTTGCTACTCCCAAAGAGCATATAAAGGTATAACCATAATGAATTCCCTGTACCAAGATTTACTTGTACATTGTTCTCTAATATTTTTAGGATTGGGATTCTATTTTTCACCTAGTTCAAGGATTAATACTTGTATAGTCAATAATATACATTTTCAGAGATGCTGGGGGGGGGGACTTATTCCCTATTCTTTTTTTCTCAGTTTTATTGAGGTAAAATTGACAAAATTGTAAGATATTTAAAGTGTACAACATGGTGATTTTGGGGGGTGTGAGAACATTTAAGTTCTACTCTCTTAGCAAATTTCAATTATACAATACAATCTTATCAACTATAGTCATTATGTTATAGATTAGATCCTCAGACCTTATTCATCTTATAACTGAAAGTTTGTGCTCTTTGACCAACTTTTCCCTATTTTCCCCACCCCATTTATCCCCTGTTCTTAATGTTCCCATAAGGGGACTTTTTTGCTAGAGGAATACTCCTGGCCAGTGGGCTGATTTCTGGCTAGGTGTTGATAGAAGGAACTGGGAAACTGTTGCTCTATGCCTTCTGAATTCCTTCATTTGGAACCAAACTGTCCAAAGCCTGAAATCAAAAAACAGGAGAATTTTTTTTTTTTGTGAGGAAGATCAGCCCTGAGCTAACATCCATGCCAATCCTCCTCTTTTTGCTGAGGAAGACTGGCTCTGAGCTAACATCTTTTGCCAGTCCTCCTCTTTTCCCCAAAGCCTCAGTAGATAGTTGTATGTCATAGCTGCACATCCTTCTAGTTGCTCTATATGGGACGCCGCCTCAACATGGCCGGACAAGCGGTGCGTCGCTGCGTGCCCAGATCCGAACCCCGGGCCGCCAGTAGCGGAGCGCGCGCACTTAACCTCTAAGCCACCGGGCCGGCCCCCAACAGGAGAATTTGTCTTCTGCTATCCAGCTGTGCCTGGGACCAAGTGGGTAAATCTGTTTCATTAAGGAGTGAGGCATTAGTGAGCCCGCTTGGCAACACATCTGAAGTCATAGTTAACTATCAGCTTAATCAAAATGGTCATGTTTTGGTCTCCTTCTGCCTGACTCTTGCATCTATATGTCGTTGGTTCTGAACTCACGGGAGGAAAAGAGATGTTATTTATTGACCCCTGAAACCATCTCTTCCTCCTTCTACTCTTGTATTCCCCATCTAGATGAGGGGTACCATCATCCACCCTAGATCTCTTTTTTCCCTCCTCCCATATCCATCAGTGACCATACCCTGTCAATTCTACTTTGCTGAGTGAGGTGCCTCTCTCTTGTCCTCCAAATCACCCCGAGCATTCTTCTTTAACAAGACTTATCACTAAGGTTATAATATGGTAAAATGCACAGACTGTGAAGTTAGGTTGCTTAGGTTTGAATCCTGATTCTGCCATCTGCCTGGCTTTACTGTGCCTTTGCTTCCTCATCTGCAAATAGGGAATGATAGTACTTCTACCAAAGAGTGGCTGGGAGAATTAGGTGAATTAATATAAACTGTAAAGCAGTTAGGACAGTATCTGGCATATGTAGTAAATACTCAATATAGTATTCTATACTTGTCCTCCCATAGCCTGGCATACAGCAGGTGCTTACTGAATTGTTCTAAATGAGGTTTGGGATGCAGACAGCTTTGTGTAGGAGTTCCAAAGCTTCTGGTGGTAGAGGCAGAGTCACACTCCTATCATTCTTTGCTTAAAATGTTCTGTCTGAAATGTCTTCTTTACCTCTATCTACCAGTCTACGTTTGGAAGGATCAATCTGGTGAGAATGGATTAGGGACGGCTAATACTGAATCCAAAAGATCAGTCAGTTAGGGGCCTTCTGTAAGGTAGGGAGGGAGAAGTTGAAGATACAGAAAGGAATAATTCAATAAAAAGGAGGGCAGAAGGGGATGCACAGAGCAGAAGTGAAGAGAAAAGTAGCCTTGGATAAGATGAGAAAAACCTCTTCCATTAACATAGAAGAGCCTTCCTTCCTATCATTCATTCAATACAACTTAAACTGATGATACATACTTAACTGAATACATACTCCTTCTATATGCTGAGCCCTATCCTTGGTGTTGGGGATACAGCAGTGAACAAAACAAAGACCCTGCTCCCATGGAATTGAGTTTCTTAGGGGAGAGACATTATGGCAGGGGAGGGACATTGTAATGGGAGGAGAGAAACAATAAATAAATGAATAAATAACATATCAGCTGTTGATATATGCTATGAAGAATAATAAAATAGGTTAAGACAGAATAAAGAATTTAGAGAGTGATGAGGTGTGAGGTACTTGCTATTTTATGTAAGGGAGTCAGGGAAGGCCTCCCCAATAAGGTGACATTTGAGCAGAGATGTAGAAGAGGTGAGGGTCTCTTGATCTCTTCTTTCAGTCTAAGATAAGTGAACATCTTATGTGTTCCCATGATGCCCTGAGCTTATCTCTATCCTAGCACTTGCTATATATATTTTTTAAATGTCTTTTTTCTGCATTTTTTATATCTGTCTTCATCATCGAGTACAATGACTGGCACTTAGTTATTAAACTAAATTAACATTTATCAAATGGCTATCACAGTTTTCAATTTATATATACTAAGATAAATTCAAGATGAAGTAATCATTTAACTGTTAAAACTATAAGAGTCAGGAAAATGTAACAGTGAAAACAAAGAACTGATGGCCTTAATATAGTAAGAGTTCCTAAGAATCAGTAAGATAGAAGAAACACTCCAACGGAAAAATCAGCAAAGGACATAAACAAATTGACAATAAGCATAATATTTAATCTCACTGTAAATTAACAAAATACAAATTACAAAATAATATATCCATTTTGAAAATAAAATTTGGGGGGCTGGCCCTGTGGTGCAAGTGGTTAAGTGTACATGCTCTGCTGCGGTGGCCCGGGGTTCGCTGGTTCAGATCCTGGGCGCACACCGACGCACTGCTTGTTGAGCCATGCTGTGGCGGTGTCCCATATAAAGTAGAGGAAGACAGGCACGGATGTTAGCCCAGGGCCAGTATTCCTCAGAAAAAAAGAGGAGGATTGGCAGCAGATGTTAGCTCAGGGCTGATCTTCCTCACACACATACAGGCAAAGAAAAGAAAAGAAAAGAAAAGAAAAGAAAAGAAAAGAAAAGAAAATTTGGGAGCTGGCCCAGAGGCATAGTGGTTAAGTTCACGCACTCTGCTTCGGCGGCCCAGGGTTTGTGGGTTCGGATCCTGGGCACACACTGCTCACCAAACCAAGCTGTGGCAGCATCCCACATGCAAAGTAGAGGAAGACTGGCACAGATGTTAGCTCAGTGACAATCTTCCCCAAACAAAAAGAGGAAGATTGGCAACAGATGTTAGCTCAGGGCCAATCTTCCTCACCAAAACAAATAAATAAAATTTGGCAGATTAAAAGAATTCATCTTCTATTAATGAAGGTGCAGAGAATACCCAAATACC